GGCTCTGTCTCACAAACCCGAGATCACTACTTGAGCTGAAATCAAGAGTTGGATGCTTAAGTGACTGAGCCACTCAGGTGCCCCTGTACTATTTTATGTATATATAAAATCTGAAGCACAAATTGCAAAATATTAAGTTACAGTACAGTTGGGTTCAGCTACATGGGCAATAATGATATTATTCTCTATTCTTTTTCTAGTTTTGAAATATGTACAGATTTGTGTATGTATATATCTCAATAACATGTAACAGCCTAGGAGAATTAAGAAGCATTTTATGATCAACACTTGGCCTCCATGTTGCTGAGGATGAATGGATCCATAGATCCTTTGCAATACAGAAGCCGTTAGCCTCTTTTTTTTTTTTTTTTTAATCAGGAGGACTTGCAACTCAAAGACTAATGACCTCTGCATTTCACCAGCCCCTTGTTAACATCATATCTTTCATGAAATGTAATTTCAAAGTTTCCTGGAAGATAAATTTCATCTGCTGATATGGCTTTTTAGAACCACTGGGAACAGGCAGATATTAGAGGTCAATGAGAAACCAACCCCGTTGCTCATTCATTCTCTCCAGAGCATGAACTGAGCACCCACACGGTCTATGTGAGATATTATGGGGCTTGAATGATGCTGGTTTCAGAGGAGAGACAGAAGTAAACAGCTCTGAGAAACATTTCGGGGCAGAGCTGTTAGAAGTCCCTGAATGGCTCTGAATAATGTGGTTGAGCCCAAGAGGTTGGGAGAGCCATCAAGGACAGCAAGAGTTGACTTGAGCGAGCATGTGGAGGCTGGCGCCATTAACTGCGGTGGGGAAGCTGGGGGGAAATTTTAAGAAGTGTGTCTTTTGAACACGCGAGGTTTGGGATGCCCTCCAAAGTCCACCTCTAGATGTGGGCAGTTGTAGGTTGAATATGAAGCTCAGAGGGGAGTCGGGCTAGGGACACACACGTGGGTGTCGTGATGGTCCTCGATGCCAAGGGACTTGCTGAGGCCCCCCCCCCCCCCCTTGGAGAAGAGAGGTCTGAGGATCCAGTCCTGGCCAGTGGTCCAACAGCAAAGCAGCCAGCCAGTGGGGAAAGGAGGGCCATTCCCCTGGACCACACGGGCTCTTCGAGCAGGGACCTGGGACTACCGCCCCAGGCAGCATAAGGGAAACACACGTCAAAAGAAAGAGGATTTTCCCTGAGCCCAAAGGGAAAGAAAACTCCCTCCCTCCCTTTTCTTAGGGTGTTTTCTTTTTTTTTTTTTTTTTTT